CTATTATTTCAAATATTCTCTTTATTCGAAGATCTTCCAATAGAACTGAACCAAGAAAGCATGCTTAAATTAAATTTCCTTGTCTAATGACAGCATCACATCGTTGTCTCATAGCATTTGTTAGCTGTAACATTCAGGTATACACAACTATTTCCGTTTAAGTTTAACGTGAAAGTTATTATTTAGATAGTTATGAAGTGTGGGTGTTAAATTTAGTTATTTTTAGAAGCAATAGTTTATTACAAGCTTGTTTACGTAACTGTTTACGAATCATATGCTGTGTGGTTCTTTTGTTGTGAATTGGTGATTGTTATATTATTGCATCATGTTACTAGAACCTTCTGAGTTTTCTCATTGTTTTATTTGAGTTCTATTCCATCATAATATCTAATATTGTGTGAAACTTCTCTGTCAGGGTATAAATAAGCATAGAACATTTAGTTCAAAAGATAGACCTAGCTTGTGATTGTAAGATTAGCCATAAAGAGCATATAGTGGCGATTTTTAAATTGAAATTATCACTGATTGTACTGTAATAACAGAGCAGTTAAGGATAATTCATCTTGTCAATTGTGTTCTAAAGTAATTGAACCAGACTGTGTGGATTTTGACGAAAAAGAGACAATTATTTAAAGCTCTGGATACAACTGTGATAACCAACTGTGTAATGAATATTTATGTATAAATTTAACTTGTTTTACTATATTGCTTTAAAACAAGTGGACTGTTTATTGTTGAAATTTATCGCCAACAAGTCACAGCCACCAACTATAAAGAATCCAACCAATCCATACATAAAACCTGACAAACATACAAACATCATCCATTCAGCCAGCAAAGGATATTACAGTTCGTAACTCTTTCAACATGAATGCACGATGTTGCTGCAATATCCCCTCGGGCAAAATAGATATTATTTGCTATAGAAAACAACTGGAACAAGGCAATTTCAACAGTTTTCTGGACCACGTGTTCCTAATAAAACTGCATAGAAATTAAATGCACGGAAATTAGTAAAAATATCTTTATAAAAATAAGGTAAAAACTTGTGATATTCCTACATATCACAGCAGTACCTTTTCTTTGGGTAACTTAATTACCTCGCGAATATCATTATACGTGAATAGTTTAATTGAACACTTTGGCACCTGATTTGAATAAATGTGTCTTGTTCGCGAGTGAGAATATTAGAGCATGAAGTCAGGAGAGAAATTTAAGAATTACTCTAAAAACATTTACTATCTTAACATAAAATGAGGAATTGAAAAAAGAAAGTGATTACAACAAATAATTTTCAAAACACACACAAACATCAGTTATTACAAAAAAGGCACTGTAATGTTATATAATTAACGAAAGCAAATGAAAATTCCAAAGAATGCAGAAGATGCTAAGTAAAGATGAATATTCATGAAAACGTATTGTTACGTCTCCGTTTGTTAATTAACTTTCCGTAACTTCGTTCCGACGAAACTTTAGCGACACAAG